GAAAAAAGCAACACCAGCAGCCAACAAATCGCACTCAGAGAGCCGGCCCATTTGGGTGGATGGAATCCAAGCAGCCGGTGCTTCCCGGACAAGAGATTGTGGCCGCGGGAAGCAAAGGAGGCCGAGTGGGGGTGAAGAAGGGTGGAGGGTGGGAAAGCATATATCGCAAATTACCAGTTGTTTTGTCTCCTGCTGGAAGCTCCGTGAAGCTGCTTTCTCATACCCCCTGTTTCCTGGTCTCCGATAGAGGATCTGCACTGCGTTAGCTGATAGGGGACCTCTGTATGAATCTCTCCTTGCTCTCTGGTCTCTGTCAGTTTTCTGTCTCCATTTGGTGCTTGGCTGAGTTCTTTATCTCTTCATTTGATGTTTTAGGGTTTCAGGATTGTTGTTTTCTCTATTTGGCTTAGTTTTTCAGATCTTTGCTGTGGAGGGACGGTGTGGTGCTTCTGCCTAGAGCGCCATTTTGCCGGAAGTCTCCCCAGGTATATTTTTTGAAGAACCTACGAAAAATTTCTTCCAAGCCCCCTGAATTGAATTGTAAAGGAAGTGGTGTCCCCTCAGTTGATGGTCACTGAAACCTTTGGAAATTGAGGGAATAATGACCAGAAATCCAGCCAGGTGTGAACTCAGTCATCCTCAGTTCATGGTTTCAGCTCCAAGCTCTGGGACTGTTTCCCTATGTGCATATGTTCTCCTTCCTGCCTTGTGTTCTCGGTTCTTCTCCACTAGGCCCCCTTGAGAACCATTTGGTTCATACTGTTGGATAGCCGTGGTGTGACAATGACAGTGACATTTCTGTTGGTGGAGAGATGCCAGGTTGGTCTAATTTGTTCTTCTTTTTCTTCTACCTAGAAATTGCTGGCACATCAAGCTTATATTTTCCCGTTAAGCATGCTGTTCAGAAACACCTTCTCTGCCTCATTTGATGCAAATTTTATAACACTGCCTGTTGGCAACTTGCTACTAAAAGGAGGCTCAAAAAAGAGTTGAACTCAAGCTTGAGAGGAGTCAGAGTAAAAATCTGTTTGATGGTTTAATTGGTAAAGATGTTACTTCAGCAAAAGGAATGGTTAATACTTAATAGATTATTTATCCAGATTTTAATTCTAATTCATAGTTAAGGATCAATTTGAATGGCATTTTTGCAATATCCTTGAGGGGTAGGTTGCTGGTGTAAATTGCTCTGCTAAGTTGAGAGGTAGCAGCATGACACAGCACTTGGGGGGGAAGGTAGGTGAGTTAAGGTGTAGGCCAGCCTTCTCATTGACTGCAGCAAGCCAGGGGAAGAGGAAGGAGCACAAAGCAGGGACGGGGCAATTATCATGGGCCCATCTCTTCACATTCCATTGGCTGGAGTCAGTCACATGGCCACAGCCAGCTGCAAGGGAGGCTGGGAAATCTAGTGCAGCTGTGTGCCCAGGAAGAAGAGGGAAGATGCTATGATAGTAGCTAGCAATCTCTGCAACAGCACAGGACCAGGACCAAGGCGGGTTATCTCTGGATCTCATTTTCCTCATCTGTAAGATAAATAGGTAATGCCTAAGGTTCTACTTGTAACTCTCACTAATCCGCGATTCCAACTTGGTGGTAGATCTGATTCTGCTACATCATTGGCAGTTAATTCTCAGAGGAATTTTCCAATGTTACAAAACAATAAACAGCAACCAAAACTGCGAAGTGGGCTACACCACTTTTGTTAAAAGGAAGTGGTCCATCTGGTCTCTTTCCTGTTCCCATAGCATGGATGAGATAAGCTCTTCTTGCTCTTCTCACCAGCCCCTTCTACCCTATCTCCTCTCCTACTTAACCCCAGCAGGCTCATAAACAAAGCACAACAGAAACAAAACACCAAGAAAACATCCCCACACCACCATCACCCCTCCACTCCAAGGTAATTTTGGACACGGGCCAACTCCCTCTGGGCTGCAGGCCAAGCATTTTGGCAGATCCCTTTGGAAATTTGAAGCTGGAGTGCTGACAGTCGAAACCTTAGTGAATGGGCCTGCAGAGGGGCCGTTGCTGATTAACGACACACACACAAGCCGCCCAAAGAATGTTGGCTCTTGCTGAGGCAGTGATGTCATCCCTAGCAACAGGTGGCAACCCTCTTTCTCTGCAGCCCTCCTCACGGAGGTCCTAGTGTTCCCAGTCATGAATAAGGAACAATAAGGCGACCACAGGGTTAACTGCCACTTTCACTCGTGTCTTTGTGGAGCTGGGGCTTTTCCCATAGAAATGTCACTGGCTTGAACTGATTTCTTTTTTTCTGCTGCCCAAATGTCAGACGGTCATATAAAAGTGGATCATGAGCAACTCTCGCCACGGAGGCCTTTCAACAGCAGCATAATGATGTGTCTGCTTTCCTCGTGCAAATAGAGGTGAACCTGGCTCAGTAAAGGGTGGTAGGACGGGAGCCTGCCTTTGTCTCCCCATTAGGAAAGACAGTCAGGGCAGCAGGAAACCTGCATCACTTATTGGGTTGACATTTCACCTTTTCGTCTCCTCTGCTTGGGAGCAGAATGTGTCTTCAGGACAACAGTTTGTTAGCAGTACAACAAAGTTACAAGGACTCACTTGGAATTCTTACAGGAAGTTGCCAAGGCCTCCTGACGGTAACATGTATCAGGATTGAGGCTGGCCAACTTGGATCTCCATTTATAGCTCTCAGTCATGTTACACCACCTTACAAGTGCACATCCTCAGTACCTCCCATGCACTCAGCACAAAAAAATGCAAAACATGAAGAAAAATAAGACATGATTCTGGCCCATAAGGGGATTCAGTATGTTCTGATGGGTCTGGGGATCCCTATTTTTATAAAGATCCAGGTGGTTCTGATCACACTGACCTCCAGTGTAGAAACAGAGATTTCAGTGGTGATAGAGAAGTATCGTGGGCTCTGAAACAGTGTGAGTTTGAATCTGGACTCTACCACCTGCAAACTGTGACCTTGATCAAATCATTTAACTTTCCTGAACCTCAGTTTCCATTATCTGTAAAAAAACATTGTGAGGTTTAGAATAAATGTATGCCAAGCTCCTAGCACCATGCCTGACATATTGTAAATCGCTCAGTCTATGGATTTGTCTTTACAGTAAGCCCCAGTTTCTTCCGTTTCTTTTCTGTAAACTGTGGAGGTTTGACTAAATAACTTCTAAGAAGCTTCTTATCTGTAATACTCTGCGGTGCCACTCTGGAACTGGGATAAACGTTAAGGGTAGATTGTGTCTAAGCAGCATTAAGTTCCCCAGCAGGGACAGTAATTCTTTCTCCCATTCTACATGGAAG